TGTGCACTATCAGATAGATGCTTTTGATCGGTTGACATTTTCGTGATATTTTATATATACAATATCTTGGGCAAACAGGAAAAGAAATTTACTGGATAAATAAAAAAGATACTCGGTATGGCTATAGTGAGTTTTCACCTGACGAAATATTAATATAAATATATCATACCCAGTCAGAGTACATACTTTTGAGATGTAGGCTTCTTCCAATATTTTATATAAAGATTTCGAAGAAGCCTACACAATTTGATACATATTGTTTATACCTGAAATGCACTATCTGACTTCGATACTTAACTAATTGATGAAATATATTTTCTACTCACTTATTAGCAAATAATTAAGAGGTCTTTGCAGGTTGAAGAGCCTCGACCTCATACTTCTGCTTTATTCAACAATTGAGCAAATGGAATCTGTCAGAATGTTTAGAACAATACCCCGTAATAGAAACAGTAGGTATTCCACAAACAAGGCAGGTTTTTTTTTCATATTTTTTTCATATAATATCCAGTGCTTTGTATAGCCAGTGGTGTAAGTACAAACTCTCCCACAAATAGAGCCGTCTTTCTTGATATGTGGGCAAGTAACACGATTCATATAAGTATTTTAGGATATAAAACCCTCTTCACTTTTAATTTTATAATAAAATGTGTATTTAAATTATTCGGTATTAAGTTAAGTTATAAATGACTTTTCATACTCACGTTATGGGTATAAATATAACAGTACTTAATTTACTAACCGGTTGATAGATCGACACAAATGGTAAGTTGTTCCAGAAGTTGATCTGTGAAGGGTTCATATACACTGATAGGCTTTCAGATTATTTAGAGGATATTGGGGGTGGTAAATTTGAATTAGATCCCTTAACTGACTTTTACCACCCAGCCCTAATTCTACCTCTATCTATCTTAGCGAATAGATCAGATATTTGTAAAAAGTTCCCCATTAGTGTGGAATTCGCTATTGAGGGTAGGATGAGTTTATTTAGCCTAGAAAAAAATAAATGATCCTCTCTTCAAAACCTAATCAAAATAAAGTATTCTAGTAATAACTTATCTACGCTTATAGAAATAATTTGGGAGCATAAAGAGACAAAAGTTTGGAGAAAAGATATACTCACGAAATTCCTCTATCACCCGAATTTGACCTCTTCGAAATATAGACCAGGTGCCTTATATAATGCATTCATCAAGGTAAATGTTTTAGGGCCAGAACATTTATTAACTCTGGTATGAATACTCTACTAAAATGTGGTTACAATATAAATTTATTTATAGCTTTGGAATAGGGTTCCATAGTTATTCTTTTTTGCTTATCATATATACCTGCAAAATTCAAATTGATGTAAATATCCTTTTGGCTAGAGCAGGTGGTCCTATAGAGACCTGCGTAAGATATATTATTTTTGCATCTTTGACTTTTTATTAGTCTTCACCAATCATGAGTGGGTCCACACATAGTGAATTATCAGAATATTTTTTCGAATTAAATTTTTTCTTATCTAATATAATCTGACAAATAAAGATTAATCTAACTATCATTTATATTTTATATACCACATCATGTCTGCTATTATAACCAAGTTCGTTGAAGAGCACAAACTCACTAAAGAGATAGGTCTCGGAAAGCTTAGCCAATACGCGCCAGAAATACTTGAGCTCTTAACAACTGGTGTGCTACTGGTAGATAAAGAAAAAAGATGCCAGGCCCATAATTGCCTTCAAAAAGGGTATGAATTTAGCAAAGAACAGGCATTTGTATTAATTTCTCACAAGAGAATTTTGGCGAAGTAAAAGTCAAGTACTCTAAAGAAAGAGGAGATGCGAATATATGCTTAGTATCTGATACTATCCTAGAAGAGAAAACTATTAAACAAACAGCTCAGTGTATTATGCGAGATAAACTTAGTGAAAGAGATATAAAAGCAATATCTAGAAACTTAGTTGAAACTGCTCTGATCCCATTGTTGCCTTATCTCATCTCTCTAGACTTTGAAGAGAATTGCAAGCCATCAATGCTTCAGAAAAAATAGTTTCTGTTACATTAAATCTAGAGGTAACCAGATTATCTAATAAAGTCTAAAAGAAGCATAGCGAGCAACGTAAAAATGAAGGAATCGATTTTCTAGACCACTTCTTATTAGAATCAGTTAAGGAGAGACTGAATTTATATGATATATCTAATATACCCGATAAACTAGCCCTAGCCGATATAATGATAATGCTTTGCATCCGTCCTGCTGAAATTAAAAACTTGCGTATATCTAATGGGGCTGTAACTGGATATGCAAAAAACCGAGGTCAGCAAGATATTCCTTGAGTGTTTAGATCACTGAAAAAGAACGAGAAGCAGGCAAGAGAATTACTTTCATAGATTCAGGAAGCAATCATTTCTGGGAAGTTAAGGGATCCAGAAAAACTTGGATCTATGTACTTAAATACATTTCTGAAAAAAGACGAATTTATTCCTGAAAGTGGTAAACCATTACTTTCTAGCTCTTTACGTAAATTAGGGGCAGTATTTGCTTCTGTAGTACATGGGTCTAAAAATGCATCGAAGGCTAACACTTATGCCAGTGAAGCATTAAGGCATAGTTCTGACAACCATGCTTCTCCATCTAAGAGATATACTATAGTCAATATGTGGAAAAGAGGAGAACCCTATAATCAGGCAAGTCTATTCTACATCTTCGATGAAAACTAATAATAAATTTCTTGGAAGATAGGTTAGATGTTGT